CTGGAGCCTGGATCTCTTGAAAGCATCCAGCCACAAATGAAGAATATCTTCTAATACTTAGTATGTTAAATTCATGAGAAAGATATTGTCAACGTGCAATGAAAAGCCGTGTTCGAGCAGAAGGAAATCCCATTCCCATCTCACTGAACGACTGGCCAATCCTCTCTGCATGTTGAAGGATGCTCGGACCAACTAGACCACGTCTTTGGCATCAGTTCGAATCAGGTAGGCACAACGTTGCAAGTACAGTCAATGATTGGTTAGAAATTTTTTTTGACAGTTCTCAAAATATTTACCAAGTATTCATTTAACGTATTTATTTTATTGTAACTACTAGATCAAGTCCCGGCTGGCACAGGGTTCATGTCCAGCAATTTTCACAAGATTAATTAATTAAACATATTGATAGCAATTATTTTACTATCTTAACCATTCTTAGACCATAATTATATTGAAATTCTTCCAAGTCAAACATGAGAATGTGGTGATTAGAAGAGAGAGAATCCACAGACACCGACAAATCAGATTGGGCGGCCTTCCACAGATACTTAGATGACCCAGCTTTACACTTCACACTCCAAGAAACAATAAACAATAGAATTATCTTAATCATAATCTCCATTAGTCCGCCCTAACTAATTTTCTCACGAGGTTGTTTAGACTTGAGAGTTTGGTTTTAAATACACAGATTCCCAGCATGGATTAATTGAATTCCAAGGTTACTTCCTAGAAATGACCTCACATGGTATCTGACTAACGGGTAACACCTTGGCTAAAAAGGAAAGGGATCCAATTGATACAGATTTAGAGTATGTTTGGTTTGTAGGAATAGGGGTCTGAAATCAGAATCGGAATGGGCTATTCCGATTCCAACTGTTTGATTGGGCGGAATCGAAATCTCATTCTCATTCCTGCTGGAATGACATTTCCCCATTTGAGGGAATGGCCATTCCTTATCTCTTTCTTGGGAATAAAATCTCATTCCTGCTTATTTTAATTTCCATTCCTATTCCTGTTTAAACCAAACAAACTATGAGAATGGACTATTCCGATTCCGATTTCGGAGGATTTTGATTTCGATTTTAATTCCGATTCCAACTACAAACCAACGCCCTAGCTACGGATATCTGTAATTCCTTCATCAGAGTACACACGAATGCTTCTAACCCACTTACCGTAAAATCCATCACATAGCATCAGATCAAACCATAATAAAATGATTTGGATCATTGGATTTAACCCAATTGAAAAATCCAGATAATATATAGGGATTGTCGCCAACAAAGGCAACTTTTGGGCCCTGAGATCAATAAAAATCATCTTTTTAATTATTAAAATAGGTTAATATTTTTTTAAGAAAATATCAAATAGGGGCAAAAACACTGTTCATCTCCTTCATTCTTCAAACTATCAAATGAATCAATTTTTGGTGATGGCCAACTTTTTGTGGCTAAGTACTTTGTCATTTGGTCTGCTTCTAAGTGGTCGATGACTCAAGCCGAAGTGGAGCTACCTGGTGGCGAGTTGCCTAGGGGCGAGCTGCCTGGTGGCGAGCTGCCTAGTGCCGAGCTGCCTGGTGGTGAGCTGCCTAGTGCCGAGCTGCCTATGAGGTGCCGAGCTGACCCGGTGGTGAGTTTCCTGGGAGGTGCCGAGTTGCCTAGTGGTGAGCTAGATTGATGAGCTTCGTTAGTCTTTAGAGACCTACAAAGAACCAAATGTTAGAGGACCTGGGATGGCTAACCCGGTGAGGTCGCTCCGATGCTTAAGTCAGTACTCTCATAGTAGACTGTGAGCTAAAAATCACAGAGTATGAGAGCTAGAATTTGCTTACTTGCTCCCCTTGAGTCATTGGGTTTGGTGCCTTTATATAGGCCTTGCTCATGTAACGCCTCCGAGATCTCCGGGAGGTCGTGTCTAACTGATGCGAGATCCTTGGAGGTAACCGCCATGCACGTTGGCCATCTTCCAGAACGTGGGCCGACCTCCAAGGATCGTGGGGTATGCATGCCGAGTTTGTCGGCGAGCATGTCTCATAGGTTGCCAGGTTGGCGCATGTCAGGCCGCCAGGCCGCGCTAGGTCGGCGCAGGCCGCATTAGGCCGCCAGGCCACGCGTAGGTCGCCAAGCAAGACACCATCAACTTGGCAAGTTGTTGCCCGGGTGTCACCTAGTTGTCATGAGGTGCCATGTGCCACAATATCATTGGAGGGCCAAATCCGCTCTCATCATTTGCCCCCCACTCCCGAGCCGAAAGTAACTCGGCGAAGGGATTAGATTTCTCCTTTTGGCCCGAAATGAATAATTTGATGAGCTCGTAAGCATCGATTCAATTCCTTAGGCTTTGGGAGTGACTCGCAGTCCGCTCCTTGATTTTGCCCATGCCGAAGAGGCAACTAGGTCTTATGTGGTATTTTAGCCCTTAGGCTCTTGGAGCGACTCATAGTCCACTCTCTTTGATTTTGCCCATGCCGAAGAGGCAACTGGGTCTTATGTGATGAGGAAGTCTTTTATCAGTTCGTCAGTTCGCGCCAGAGCCAGGCCGCTAGGTTGGCGCCCGTGCCAGGTCGCGCCAGGTCGCGCCAGGTCGGCGCATGTGCTAGGTTACCAGGCTGCCAGGCCGCCAGGCTGCGCCAAGTCGCGCCAAGCTGCCGGGTGGGCGCCTTAGAGCTATGATTGCACTGCATCAGCCTCGTAATGCCGGTCACCCACCCCTACATGAAACTACTAGGAGCTCGACCTTCGGGGGCAGCACTACTAACTTTAGGTCGCCAGCTCACACGGGAGCCTTGGAAGGCTCGGCCAGCAAGGGAGCCCATGTAGTCTGTTGGCCGCCAACTCCCGCAGAAGCCACGAAGAGCTCATCTTTGTAGAGGGGACCTCACGAAGAGGACTGTTGAGGTTTTATCTGTATTGAAAGTAAAGTTGGTAGAGTTGCTTAGTTTGTTAGCTCCCTGCATAGTCTTTGAGTTCATAAAAAATGAAAAGTATAAAGCGAGAGCTTTAGTTTCTAAAAATTGAGGTCTTAGCTTTCTAGAAGAAGAGGACTTAGCTTTTTAGAGGAGGAGAACTTAGCTTATTGCAGCGTTTCCCACAGACGGCGCCAATTGATGAATCAATTTTTGGTGATGGCCAACTTTTTGTGGCTAAGTACTTTGTCATTTGGTCTGCTTCCAAGTGGCCAAAGACTCAAGCCGAAGTGGAGCTGCCTGGTGGTGAGCTGTCTAGTGCCGAGCTGCCTGGTGGCGAGCTGCCTATGAGGTGCCGAGCTGACCTGATGGCGAGTTTCCTGGGAGGTGCCAAGCTGCCTGGTGGTGAGCTGGATTGATGAGCTTCGTTGCTCGTTAGAGACCTGCAAAGAACCAAATGTCAGAGGACCTGGGATGGCTAACCCGGCGAGGTCGCTCCGATGCTTAAGTCAGTACTCTCATAGTAGACTGCGAGCTAAAAATCACAAAGTATGAGAGCTAAAATTTGCTTACTTGCTCCCCTTGAGTCATTGGGGTTGGTGCCTTTATATAGGCCTTGCTCATGTAACGCCTCCGAGATCTCCGGGAGGTCGTGTCTAACTGATGCAAGATCCTTGGAGGTAACTGCCATGCATGTTGACCATCTTCCGGAACGTGGGCTGACCTCCAAGGATTGTGGGGTACGCATGTCGAGTTTGTTGGCGAGCAAGTCTCATAGGTTGCCAGGTTGGCGCATGTCAGGCCGCCAAGCCGCACGCAGGTCGCCGGGCGGGACACCATCAACTTGGCAAGTTGTTGCCCGGGTGTCACCTAGTTGTCATGAGGTGTCATGTGTCACAATATCATTAGAGGGCCAAATCCGCCCTCATCACTATCTATTTTCAAGCTTTAATTAATAGCATTCAAAACTGCTTGAGATACCTCTAAAAGGCTAAGTAGCTGAAACCAAACTTCCAATTCATGTACTTGGTATGATGTTTTATGTATTCTTCTAAGTGCTTCAGATGAATAACTCATAGCAGTTATGTTCTAAGTTTGGAACAACTAGAAGAAGAAAAAAGGGGAGAGAGAGAGAGATCGGAAGTGGGGAGATTTATTTGGTGGTCTAGAGGAAGGAGATGAACAGTATTTTTACCCTTATTTTAATATTTTAAAGAAAAAATTAATCCATTCTAAAAATTATATTAAAAAAAAATTATTGATATTAAAGCCTAAATATTTAATTGAAATTATATTTTTAATAATTCTAAATCTGTTCATCACACCTGACGCCTCACAGATATATCCTATCCCTTGATAACATCTCCTATACTTATTAATTATTATTCATGAGAGATGTTCCCAATGCACGGTGGATGTGCCTGTAAGGCGATCCCGCTTCATTTTTAACGGTTTAGACCGATTAGTGAACACCCCCGTATAGATGCACGTGGCCTTGATGTTAGTAACAATGCGTGGACAAAAGACTCCAAGTTGTGATGTGAACTGTAAGAAGTACTTTGGTCAGTGTTTTGAGCTGGGAAAAAACTGTAAACAGGTTGGATTAATAAATTATGATTTCAAGTCTTAAGAAGTCTCCATAAAAGTCCCCATAACTTATCTCTCTTGCATGCTGGTGCTGGACATTGTGAAAACCAAGGTTGAGCGAGTGGTGACAAGTAAATTGATAAACTATTAGATTCACTGTGGAAAGGCGGGCCCAGAGGATTCCTAGAACTTCGAAAAAAAAATCACATTGGGCACGCCATGATCCCCATCATATTACCCAAAAGCCCAACGCCCAACCCACTAATTGATTAAACAAATCTCTTCTAAACTAATGACAGTTGCCATCATTACGAGTCCACCTGTAGTCTCTATCATCTTCCACCTGTCCTCTCCACATTCCTAATTTCCTACTCCTCCCCACTTCTCTTTCCTTCCATACAGATTTTTTAGATAGGTGATGAATTCAATTGATGATAGAGAGCTCTTTTCCTTTTACTTTTGATGCCATCTCCCACTACTCCTCACTCACTCTCTCGTATTTTATTTTTGATTTTTTTTTTCTTCTATCAACAAAAGCAATCAATCAACCACTCAAGTGCATGAACCCAAGTAACCACCCTCCCCTTTATAAACCCTTATCCCTCCCCCTCCTTCTTCACTTGCACTTGGATTGCAGAGTTTCTGAGAGAGTTAGAGAGTGAGAACAGTAACAGCAGCCATGCCTTTCTCAGCTTCTCTTACCCTCATTTCCAAATGTACTGTTCTTCCTGAACAAAAATCCTCAATTGGGAATCTGAAGCTCTCTGTGTCTGATCTCCCCATGCTCTCCTGCCATTACATCCAAAAGGGCGTTGTGTTCACTCGCCCTCCTCTCCCCATCGACTCCCTTATCTCCCTCCTCAAACGCGGCCTCTCCAAGACTCTGACCCATTTTCCCGCTCTCGCTGGCCGTCTCGTCACTGACTCCGACGGTTATGTATTCATAGCCTGCAACGATGCTGGCGTCGACTTCCTCCATGCCAATGCTGCTCACCTCACCCTCCGCGACATTGTCTCCCCCGCCCATGTCCCCGACTCTGTCAAGGAGTTCTTCGCCTTCGACCGCACTATCAGCTACGACGGCCATTTCAAGCCCGTGGCCGCCGTTCAAGTCACAGAGCTGGCGGACGGAGTCTTCATTGGGTGTTCCGTCAACCACGCGGTTACTGACGGGACGTCCTTCTGGAACTTCTTCAACACCTTTGCGGAGGTGTGCAGGGGTGTCAGCAAAATCTCGAGGCCGCCGGATTTTCGCCGCAATTTCTTCAAAGGTTCTCTTGCGGTCCTTAGATTCCCTGAGGGCGGCCCCAAGGTGACGTTTTCCGTCGATGCCCCTCTGAGTGAGAGGATCTTCCATTTCAGCCGAGAAGCAATTCTCAAGCTAAAATCCAGAGCGAACGGAAAAGTTGACAACGAATTCGCAATCGAGACTGAAATTTTGGGTAAGCAAAGTAATGACGGGTGGAAGCCCCATGGCGATAACCACAACCACCCGAACGGGAAGATTGCCTCTGTTCTTGGGAGCTGGCTGCGAAACGCGGTCTCGAAATCTCAATACACGGAAACGGAAAGCAAGAGCCCCGATCAAACAGTCGAGATTTCATCCTTCCAGTCTCTCTGCGCTCAGCTATGGCGTTCGGTCACACGAGCGAGAAAGTTTCCCCCTTCCAAGGCAACCACTTTTCGGATGGCTGTGAACTGCCGCCAACGAATCGAACCGAAGGTCGATCCGTACTATTTCGGGAACGCGATCCAGAGCATTCCTTCTGTTGCTTCTGTTGGGGAGGTCCTTTCCGGGGATCTGCGGGCGTGCGCAATTCTGCTGAACCGAAACGTGGTGGCGTACAACGACGCTACCGTGCGCCGCGTGGTGGATGACTGGGAGAAGAACCCCCGCTGCTTCCCACTAGGGAACTTCGACGGTGCAATGATCACCATGGGGAGTTCTCCCAGATTCCCTATGTACGATAACGATTTTGGGTGGGGCCAACCGATGGCCGTCCGAAGCGGGAGAGCGAACAAGTTCGACGGTAAGATATCGGCGTTTCCAGGGCGGGAAGGCGGGGGAAGCGTTGATCTCGAGGTGTGCTTGGCTCCCGAAACGATGGCGGGGCTAGAGAACGACTCCGAATTCATGCAGTATGTGTCGTAGCTCCTAGGAGACATGACCCATTCACCCATAGAAAGTTTTGTGCTTTAACCGTCCGATCGTGTGAATAAGGTTACTACTGTTCACCGAAGAAACTCCCACAGGCCACATTTGTTGCGATCTTGATGCAAATGGACGGTCTGATTCGTTTCAAGAGAGAACCGTGAATGGCTTTTAGTTTTAGACGACGAGAATCCGTCCATTGCCGATGTATGGTGTGTTACTGTTGGCCTGTTGGGTTTGGGTTGTTTCTTCCCCATCTGACCCGAAGTTGCGGTTGGCGCCTCGAGCCTTCGGCGTCTTGATCTTGTCTTAAAAAATTAAATAAGATTTGATAACATGTAATCGTGCTACATTGTACTCAATAAGCACTAATCTCAGAGCACCTCCTTTCGACCGTCCGTTCAGACTTCAGACTTCATTACTATAGTGTAGTACCCCTATTGGTTTTATGATTTTACTTTTGGAAGTGGTAACATTTAGCCCCCGGATTTTGTTTTGCTACATTAACCCCTCAAAACTTCTAGATTTCTAACACTTTTCCCCTTAAGTCCATTGATGGAGTTGACGGTGAAAATAAAATTACCAAATTGTCCATTCAATATTGATTGATAAAAATAATATAAAAAAATAATCATATTAAAGCACAAATTGTTCTTAATGCATTGATTAAGATTTAAGAGATCATTCTCAAAGCATTTTTTTAAGAATTCTGTTGAAAAAATCATGTAAATCAGGAATATAAAAAATTAAGGGTCCATTTTAGTTAGCAGCTGGAATTGAAATTAAAATGGTCTATTTTCATAATTTATTTGGTTCAGACAAGAATAAGAATGAGAATTGAAATTAATATTAATAAGATTTTATTCTCAAGAGAGGGATAAAATGGTCATACCCTCAAATGGAAGAAATTCATTTTAACAGAAATAAGAATGGGATTTCAATTCCATATAACACAGTTGAAATTGGATTTCAGACCCTTATTTAGTTATTTTTTATTTGGTTCTTAAAATTAATTAGAAGAAGAGTAGGTTCTTGATAATATAAGAGTAGTTTGAGGTTTTAAAAATATTTTTAATGTCAAAATGTTAAACGTGGAATCTAAAAGTTCCAGAGGACTTTTATCTAAGTGCACTCCTGCAAAGTACGCTTTTTGCGAAGGTTCTGATTTCTGAAACCCTTTTCACTTGATTAGTTTGGCATATGGAAAACCTTAACCGTAGGAGAGGATCATTTTTTTTTGTTTTTTGAAAAAGAGGAGAGGAGAGGATCAAATTTGATCCAAGGGCGGAGGCAGGAAGGGATGGCTCCCCTAGGTCCCCCTGTCTCCGCCCCTGATTTGGCACTTATTTGAGAGTTTAGATCTGATGAACCCAAAGCGCTGGTCACAACACTAGAGCCACATCAAGAACATCTTCTTCTGAATTATTACATCAAGTATAAGAAATGTTTCTGATGACTTGCGATCTCCTACCAACAAAACAAAGCACGTTCCAACTCTTTACCAACAAGATCTGACAGGCCACATCTCACCGTGATTGAAACCTATCCTAAAAATAGGACTAGAACTTTTCATGTATGAGATGTATTTTAAGGAGTTCGCATTACCGCCCCACACAACATGCGACTGATACTTGTCCAGTCACACGTAGTGGGGCGTTCTTACGTGCGGGGTTAACAGGGTGGATGTTAGCCCCACCCGTTAGCCCTAAAACGATTTTAAAACGCAAAGTTCGAGCTTCTCCCATATTCTCTGGCCCCTTGAACCTTAAATTGGAGTCTCTGACCCCTTTTATTCCAAGCTTGGATCTCCACTCCCTTTTCTGCAATCATTTTTGTGAAAAAAAAGGGGTAAATTATAAAACTCCCCTGTACTATGGGGTATGTGATAAAGCCCCCTGTATTTTATTTTGTGACAAAGACTCCTCTGTACTATGATAAGATCCCCTTCTATTCGCTTTTCCTCCAAAAACATTGTTACAATATTTTTTAATCTTCATGCTACCCTTGTAATAACTATTTTGACAATGGGGAGAAAAACATGTTTATCTTTTTCAACCTCATGATAAACGAACAGCAACAGGATAATCCCTTTTACCTCAGATTCTTTCACATTTCTTACAATATTTTTTAATCCTCATGCTACCCTTGTAATAACTATTTTAACAATGGGAAGAAAAACATGTTTATCTTTTCCAACCTCACGATAAACGAACAGCAACAGGGTAATCCCCAGCAAACTTTTTTCTTACGAATCAAAGCATGCAGGATATATCTAAGGTCCAGGTCCCCAGAACAGAGCAAAGAGATTTAAACAAAATCATTCTTTTTCCTTTTAAACAACTCATACAAGCCAAAAGAAATATGTAGAAAGAATTGATTCCCAACATTTTACAGTGACACATCGATCAGATCACTACCCAGAGGGGAAATTTGGTATTTTTGTTCTCAAATTATTTTGACAAAAATCTTCCCTGCTAAACTAAAGCAGTAAAGCCCACCCGCAAGAAAAGAATGCTGCTTTGCAGTTACATACAATTTTTCGTGTAAGAAAAAAAAATAAAAAATAAACATCAAAACCAGAACAAAAGTAAAAAAGTAAAAAAAATGAAAAGAAATTTTGAAAAAAAATCTCATACCACTAGTACAATGCTATACAACAGAGAGCAACAGCAAGGGCGGTTCTTTGTACGCTAGTAATGGCTGCACCCGATAGGATCTCCTCTCGGAAACCTGGAGGAGAGGAGAGATGGGTTAGTGGGATCTCCAGAGAAGGTGAATTCTCTGGCGAAAACGAAATTTCTGGAGGTGCAGCTCCCACCCCTTCATTGCCACTCCTCGTCGCCCCAAGGGCTTCCTTCCCAAAAATCGCTCTCAGAAATAAAACCTTCGAAACTACAAAGATGGAAACTGGGTTTTGATCAAAAGCTGTCTAGGTTACCGACACCTGAATGATCCCCGTATCAATCGCCACCGACCCATTAACCCTCGTAATATTCAATGTGAATGTCTCAGCACTCAATGGATAGTAAGAATGCAGAACATGGAATTTCAAGACCACAACTTCCTTTTTCTCATGGCGGGATTGCAGAACTAGCAGCTTATTTCAGGCGGTGGAGAGAGAAGACCAAGGAGAGTCTGAAGACTAGACAATTTGTACAGAACAGAGGAAAGCGGAAAGAAGAAAGAGGAGAAGAGAAAGGGAAGGGGAAGAAGAGAGATCAGGGGGAGAGGGAGAGATAGAGAAAAATGTGAAGGAATCTATGGTAGAAGGGATTATCGCCACTGTTCGTGTATTGAGGTTGGGGAAGATAAACAGTATTTTTCTTCCTAGAATAATTATTACAAGAATAGTATGGGGATTAAAAAATATTTTAACAGCGTTTTTTAACGAAAGGCTAACAAAAGGGGTCTTTATCACATACCCTATAGTACAGGGGTATTTGTAATTTACCCAAAAAAAAATCCAAGCTTTTAGTCTTTACTGTATCTTTGTGCTAAGTGTAAATTAGGTTGAGTATTTGTCAATGCAATCTCCGGATTAGTGTTTATCAGATCTCCGTAAATGGTGATTTTCAACCGGAGCTGCTGGTGTTTGTTCCGAATGTCAGTATTGAATCAGAAACCTGGGTTTAATCACATGCACAGGGACTTTTATGGGCGGTTTGCAGCTGATAGCAAGAGTGGGGATAACACTAGTCTTGGGTGGAATGATTACACGAAGATGTTGGACTTTATTGGATCGGATACAGGGTTTCTTCTCGATGATACTGCTGTTTTCAGTGCTTCGTTCCACGTGATTAAGGAATCTAGTAGCTTCTTCAAGAATGGGGGATTGCTTGGAGGGAGGAGTGGTGGTGGGGCAAGGAAGTCTGATGGGCATATGGGGAAGTTCACTTGGAGGATTGATAACTTCACGAGGCTAAAAGGCCTTTTGAAGAAGAGGAAGATCACGGGACTGTGTGTCAAGAGCAGGAGATTTCAGATTGGTAATCGGGATTGTCACCTCATTGTCTATCTCAGGGGTAAGACCAGCGGGCATTCAGGAAGATCACCAGGTAAGACGATGGTTGGAACTTACTTGGTGACTGGAGGTATCCCCGGTGCCGGAGATGAGGGCGGAGATTCAAGTTCGGGCTAGAACGGGGTCAGAGACTCAGATTTGAAGTTCAGGGGGCCGGAATATGAGAGAAGCTCGAACTTTGCCCTTATGAGATCGTTTTGGGGCTAACATCCATCCAGTTAGCCTCGCACGCGGAAATGCCCCACCACTTGCGACTGGACAGGTGTCAGTCACACGTTATGTGAGGTGAGGCACGGTGGGGCGGAGATGCGATCTCTGTTTTAAGATCAATATAGTAGGGTGTTGGAGCGCATTTCGTTGGCAGATGATCCAAACTCATTTCCGATATGTGGCTGTAAGGTCTTGCAGCCAGCATTGCTTTAGATCAATGAATTGTTTGAATGCCTTAGTCTGTATGTACCAATAGCATGCCAAAACCTGTTGGATCTGATGGCAAAGGCTGTGTAATGAGAATTCAAATTGGCACCTTTTTGCATATCCACATCTCAGCGTGGATAGGAATGGCAATTCCTATCCTATCCTACCCAGTGGGTACCCATCCTAATAGGGTGGGTTTCTTTTTTTTTTTTGAAGGATAGATTTTGGATCGAGGATGGGTTTTGGGATTCTACACCCTATACAAGTATGATAGAGTACGATATTAGGTTAAACCTGATCTTCTCCGATCCGCATATTGTTGAAAATCGTATAAGCTTTTATGTATTAGGTGTTGATTTTAATAATATTTTGAATCTTATGTGAAGGATAATTGATAGTTTATATGTTTTCTAAATGTCATAATTAAGTAATTGAAAATGCCATCATTTGTTTGTGTTATTTTACTTATCATTTCTTATGTATAACAAGAAAATAGGAAATTAGATGGGGTTCTAAACTCAACCCACCCTTATCCTTGAATGCGGGGAGAGTAGAGTCCAGAAGGGTTTTGCATTTTCATGTGTGAAGTGGGTTTGGATTTTCAAAATCCAACCTACTATAGATTTTGGGGCAGGTACGACGGGTTCCCCCCCACCCACTCCGTTGCCATACCTAAGTGTGGAACATCTCCAATACTTGTTATGGGGATAGTTAGAGGGTGTTCTATAGTGTGGATGAGAAATTGTGTAGTTGGAACCAATCAACACTATACCACAGTCCACAGTTATTCTGAATTATGGACAAACTGTGTAGACTGGACCAGTCCACACCCACAGTGGCATTCTGTAGGTGTGGTGTGGATCAATTCGCACCACACTTTTTGATTCCATGTATCTCAAATACATTTTATGAATGATCTATACAGTTAATCATAAATATCTAATTTTTGCATTTTATATGATAAAT